GAAGGTGGAAAACTAGGCAGAGAAAGGTAACTTAAAACAAATCATTATAACCTCAAAGATAAGAGAGCATATTTCATCTATTAAACAATAGGATGCTATCCTAAGAAACAGTTAGACTAAAAAAACAAACTCTGGAAATTAAAAACATGATTGTGGCAATTTTTTAAAAACATCCAAATAGAAGGGTTGAGAAATACAAGTTAAAATCTAGCAGTAAGTAGCCAGATGGAAAACAAGAAAACAGATAAAAAAATTAGAAGACCTTTAAAAGATTCACATGCAAATATCAGGTATTCCAAAAGAGAGGCTGCAGAGAAAATAGGAGAAAATAATAAAATATCTCAAAAAAATTTCCCAAAAAATAAAGGTTTTAAAGGGCCCATCAAATACTCAACCTAATGGAGGGAAAAACAAGTAAGTCCACACTAAGACACATCATTTAAAATTTTAAAACACTGGGGTCAAACTGTAGATTCCATAAATTTGCAGAGAGGAAAAAAAGACAGGTCACATACAAAGGATTGGGAATCATAATAGCTCGGAATTCTCAACAGGAACACTGGAAGCAGGATGGCAATGGAGCAGTAACTTTAAAACTTTGAAGGAAAATTATTTCCAATTAAAATTCTACTAACAGGGCTGGCCAAGTGGCTCGTTGGTTAAGAGTTGGCTTAGGAGCGTGAGCTCTGAGCAGCAGGGATGCTGGTTCGGATCCCACATAGGCCAGTGACACTGCGCCCTCTACAGCTAAGATGGTGAACAAACAGCTAGACCTAGAGCTGGGCTGCCGTGAGTCGCCTGCAATGGCGTAAGCTGCAGTCCCTGCTGCAGTGGGCTGCCATGAGCTACCGTGAGTGGCCGGCAGCTGCTGTGAGTGGCGATCCAATGGCCAGCAACCAATCTGCCTCACCCGGGAAGAGTGCAATGATAATACCAACATGTGCCAGTGAAACGACGTCCTCCACAACTAGGCTGAAGAACAAAAGGACAGCAACTTGTCTGTTCCCCTTCCCTGATTCCCCAACGCTGTTCCCTCCCCCAATTCCCCAATAAAATCTTAAAAAATAAGATAAAATTCTATTAACAGCCAAAGCATCAATCAAGTATGAGGATAGAATCAAAACATATTTAAGACAGGCAAGATCTCCAAAAAGTGTTACTCTTTTTGTCAAGAAGCTGCTGGAATTTGAGCACCACCAGAGAAAGGAAATCAATAAAAGAGGATACAGGAAAAATCTGACACAGGAGAGCTGAGGAGAGGCCAGCTGTGCCCCAGACAAGAAGGATAACCAGGCCAGACTGAAGCAGGATAACAAGAAACCGAGACAGATTATGTCCCAGCTGCTATACCAGCTTCTTAACCAGAGGGCTGAGTGCCCCTGAACCTGGCCCAGATTCCTGTCAGTACTCAGCTGGGCTTGGCTTGATCTTGGTCATATGCTGATGCGGTTCCTGCTCTTCTTCCAAGCCCTGCAGCATGCATCAACAGGAGACATTCACTTCCCTTACAGAAGGGTTCTGCTCTCACCTACCCTGCTAACTGCAGGCAGGCCATGGTGAGCCAAGCAGCAGAAATACAGAGCAGCCCATTCCCTCTGATGGTATTTCTGCTGTCCTTCCAGTACTTGGACACACTAGATACCATGACTGTGGTGAACCCCGTTTCCCAGGACCCTCTCAGATCCCTGCCCAATGACTTCCTCAGAAAGGGCCCCTGTAAACAGGAAAGCTGAAGTCATTCTTTTCTGGTCATCTTTTCCTGATAGTGACGATATTGTCCTTTTTTTACATAGTCAGGTTTGTGCTTAAAATTATGAAACAAAGTTTTAATCTCAAATTTAGAAAGCGCTAGCATTTTTTATGAAGCCTGTTTGGATCTCATCTGTACTCGAGGGGAAAGAACTTTATTATCATAGTCTATTTAATGAAAAATCCACTGTTAATAAATGCACAGTTTATAATCCTGTAAGGTTTGAATTAAACTGCAGAAATCTGTATGATGTTATGATTTTACAGCCTGCAGAAAAAACATTAATCCCAAAGCAATGGTTTTGCTGCCCTGTGGAACATTAGCTATTTTATTGAGACATTCCTTTCCCTATGGACTACATAAATGTCTATTCCTTAAATCTTCTTAAAACCAGCTCTTTGTGGCACTGTCAATAACAGTTAAATAAAACTTTGAAAGATGCTATCTGTTTGATGGAAAATTTTGTTTTTAACACTATTCATTCAAAACCAAATATATTGTTTAGGATGTGTTTGTGTGTGTGTGTACTTTTATGTATATATCTGTAAATATATGTGTGTATTTATACATTTATGTATAAAGCTTCTTTTAAAAAGCGAGAGAAAGATTAACAAGAAATCATGATAGAGGCTACTGGGCCGGCTGAGTGGCGCGTTGGTTAGGAGTTGGCTTGGGATGCCAGCTCTGAGCAGCAGGGCCCCGATTCAAATCCCACATGTGGGCCAGTGACGCTGCGCCCTCTACAGCTAAGATAGTGAACAACAGCTCGACATAGAGCTGGGCTGCTGTGAGTTGCTGGGAAGGTGTAGGTTGCAATGGGGCAGGCCAGCAGCCAGCATGAGCTTTCATGAGCTGCCGTGAGCCGCAGTAAGCGGGCGTCCAATAGCCAGCGAGCGACTGCCTCACCCGGGAAGAGCTCAATGACAATACCAACATGGGCCAGTGAAGCCACATCCTCCACAACTAGACTAAAGAACAAAAAGAACTTGTCTGTTCCCCTCCTCCAATTCCACAATAAAAATCTTAAAAAAAAAAAAGAGAGGCTACCTCTGGACGAAAGATGTAAATGTTTTGTTTCTTAATCTGGTGGTAGATACAATGATGATCATCGCAACAGTATTCTTTAAATATACATATATGTCTTACACAATTTCTTGTACCTGAGATACATGTTGCAATAAAGTGAACTTATTTAAAAAGAGAACAAGAATTTCTGTTACTGTTGGATATTCTAGGGGATTACCACCAGATGGTATTACACAAAATATGTCTGTTCACGTTTTCTCTTCCTGAAGGCACTCTCTATTCATTCCTGCCAAGCCAATCAAATGAGTCAATATAACTTTATAGTCAACACCACTGAATGGTAACAAGGTTAATAAATTCACCCGTATTTAACCTGGTCCTCAAAATTTTCTTGATCCAATCTCTGAATATAAAAGGACACACAGCGTCTAAGAAATGTATTCAAATCAAACAGAATCATCTACTGCCTTTAAATTATAAAATCCTCTAAGTTATAAAAAGAATCCTGGTGAAAAGAGTGTTATATTTATGCTGAAGTACATTCATCTGTTTAAATTACTTACTTGAAACATTCTATAATGCCAAGATGATTTTTATGCAGCAAGACTTTTAATGGCTACAACCCAGGAACAACCAAAATGTCCATCAATAAAGGGACTATATATATATAATATATACATATATATATATATATATATATATATATATGAGTACGTCCAAACGATGGCATACTACACAGCATTTTAAAAATGAGGTCCACAGTACTGGTACAAAAAAGTGTCCTTACATTAAACCAGTTCCCCAACAGTATTATGACATGATCCCCTTCTAGGGAGTGGAATTCAGGATGTAAAGGATGCAAAGTGAAGAAGTAAGAGATTCTGACTTTTCACTTGATATACTTCTGTGCTGTATGAAATTTTTACTTAATATTCTTCTGTAATCTTAAAAAAATTACCTGAATAAATTACTGTAATCAATAAGAAGAAGCAAATAAAAATAAAATGATAAATGATTTGCCTTGGAATCCAGAAGTGAATTCAGGCAAGACCAGCCAATTCAGGCTGCGGTAATCCTAGTGGGCAGAAGATGGGGGTGGGGAAGGCATGTCTCCGGAAGGGGAAAGCTACATCCTCCCCCTCTCTCAATAAGCCTGCTTTTCCAGCGGGCCTCAATATTCAAGATAACTTATTTATTTTCATTTTAAGAAGAGTTTGCAACACTATCGGGGTAAAAAATGTTTAACCTTTGTTCTACGTCTGAAACCTATGCAGGTTTGAAAGAAGACAAATAAGTGACCGAAGATAACAGAAGTGTGCCAAGCCTGGGTGTAAGAGCCTCGGGAACTGTGAAGAAGGGGAATTTAGTACAGGTAAGTGAAGTGTCTGAGAGAACAGGTGGACATTCCAAAAAAAGAAAACGAGAAGCGTAACGATTGCATTCATTCCAATCGGAGGCTTGAAACGCACCTCGGTGTGCGCGCGCACCCACACGCACGGCTCTACCACTGTGAAAGCGAAGTCGATCTCACCGCTGCTTTGGCTTTAAAAAGGTCATATATTTACCTTTCAGATGAAGCACCTCCCAGTAATTAACTCGGAAGCCAACCTATTGGTTAAAAACCAAAATGGTCTTGCCCAGCACAACTACCGCTGCTAGTAGTGGCAATTCTCTGCTGCTACTTATCTAAAAGGACACTCAACACTTTATGATTCATTCTCAAAAGAATGCTGATCCTCTTCCATTTCCTCTTCCCACCTCTGCACCTGACTCCCGTACGGACCGAGTCGGAAAACTCCACAAAACGCTGGCAACGTTCCCAGCACTGGTTCAGAGCAATCGCGAGAGACGACGAAGTACTTGAGGCGCTCCCCGGCACCCCGCGCGAGCCTCACACCATCTCTCCCCGCTGCCGGTCTCCCCGGGAAGCTGACAGTCTCCAGACAGAAACCTTCCCAGACCTCCCAGTGAAGCAATCCGACGGCGAGATAACGCTGCAGTGAGACCCGCCCCAGCCTAGAGCAGATCAGGGCGCGTCTCGGCCACGGTCCGCCAGAGGAGACTGGAGCTGGGCAGGAGGGGACGGCGGAGGCCCCCATCCCGCAGGCCTCCCGCGCGTTCCGCTGACCCGCTCCACCGGGCGCCACCGTACTTCGCAGGCCAGGCCGGGCCGGTCGGGACCGCCTCCCCTAGCGCGCCCGGGGGACCGGCCGACAGCACTCACCCGGCTCCCCCGACGCCCACGCCAACCCCCGAGGAACGCACAGAGGAGGAGGCTGCGCCGCAGCTGGGCCGGCGAACCCCGCTACACCTCAGCCAGGAGCCGGGAAAAGAGGGCTGGTGCCCGGCTAGAGCGCCGATGGGGCGGGGAGCAGCGCCGTGCGCACCGCAGCAACCAATCGGCGCACAGCAAGTGGCCGGCTGGGGGCGGGGCGGGTCTGGGAGGGCGGGGCGAGTCTCCAGGATGCAGGGCGAAGGCGCTGCAGTTCTGCGGGACGCCAGCCAGACCCCGCGCGATGCGATTTGCCGCGTAGACCTGGCCCCTCCAATGGGCTTCTGGGCGGCTATGACGCGCCTCCCACCGCAGCGTTTCTGCTCGCGGACTTCAAGCGCAGCATCGGTGAGATCACGTGCGGGGGGAGCCCAAGACCCAGACGGCAGGTGCTCGCTTTGCCTTTGCCTGCAGGCCCAGCGACGTTGGCCGCGAGCCGCTCAGAGTAGGGCAGGTGCTCCAGGAGGGCTCTCCGGAATTTAAGGTTTGTAGAGACGCCCTTCCTTAATCCCCGCCACTCAAAAATGGAGGCCTGGAAATGGAGGCCTGGAAAGGTGAAGTTACTCGTCCAAAGCTACTAACTAGTACTGTAACTCGAGGTTACCGACACAGTACAACCGGTCTTCTGAAACTGTCATGATACTTTTCCCGGCCATCCACCCAGATTTGTAGCTTTCTAATAGTCAAGTCCCTTCCTACTGTCTCCTTTAAAGACACTGCATCTTGAATTTTCAGCATCATTTCAACAGCCTTTGAAAGCCCCGTCTAAATTTCCTACAGAATATAAAACACCATTTAGTTGTCTGAGGAAAAGACATTGTGTAAGTCCGGGTATTTTCAATGGGAATCTAAAAAAATTTTTACCTGAGGTAAATAATGCAATAAAAGGTTCTGTGTCCCGAGTTATCACAAAATGCTATCCTTATACTCCTGTTACTTCTATAGGTCTTACTATACATGTAAGAGGAACAATCCCTACTTTTTCTTATTTTTCCACTTTCCCTCAGTTCTCATTTTCATCCTTTATATTTTGTCAGTTGGCAAATAATACATTTATAGTTACTTTATCCATCATCCTTATACATGTGCTGGGATATAGGTGCTCAATAAATATTTGCTGAATAAATTACTTTTGAAATATGTGCAGCCCCAAAGCTGGTTAAATTACTGACCTATAAAGGTTGGCTTTTTAAAAATAAGTTCTTAAATTTTGCTTCTGTTTTGGTTATTGTATTGGGATTAAGTTTGACTGGGAGTAGCAGGGCTAAAGAATCACAAAATAACAGGGGCTTAAGCAAAAAAATAAATAAATAAACTTCTTATGTGTAACAAGTGCAAAGTTAGTCTAGAAGTGGTGTGGCACTTCATGGAGAAAGATCCAGCCTCCTTGCTCCAGCCAAGAGAGTCACACATAGATTTATTTATGCTTTCAAATATATGGGCATTTGCAAGATATCAGGTTCCATTCCCAATATCACCTCATGGTCTAAGACAGCGGTTCTCAACCTTCCTAAATGCCGCGACCCCTTAATACAGTTCCTCATGTTGTGGTGACTCCCAACCATAAAATTATTTTCGTTGCTACTCTATAACTGTAATTTTGCTACTGTTATGAATCGTAATGTAAATATCTTTTTGTTTTC